GTGCATGTGTACGGTGTGTGTGTGTAGTGTATCGAGTGTACGGTGTGTGTGTGTGTATCAGTGTACGGTGTGTGTGTGTGTGTATAGTGTATCGAGTGTGCATGTGTGTACGGTGTGTGTGTGTGTGTATCGAGTGTACGGTGTGTGTGTGTGTGTGTATCAGTGTACGTGTGTGTGTGTGTGTAGTGTATGAGTGTGTGCATGTGTGTACGGTGTGTGTGTGTGTAGTGTATCGATGGCATGTGTACGGTGTGTGTGTGTGTGTGTGTATAGTGTATCATGTGTGTACGGTGTGTGTGTGTGTAGTGTATCAGGTGTGCATGTGTGTACGGTGTGTGTGTGTGTGTGTAGTGTATCAGTGTACGGTGTGTGTGTGTGTGTGTATAGTGTATCATGTGTGGTGTGTGTGTGTGTGTGTGTGTGTAGTGTATTGGGTGTGCATGTGTGGGTGTGTGTGTGTGTGTGTGTGTGTATGTGTATATGGTGTGTGTGTGTGTGTATAGTGTATCAGGTGGCATGTGTGGTGGTTGTATGTGTGTACGGTGTGTGTGTGTGTGGCCCGGGGCGTGAGAGGGTTGTTATGGTTGTTGTTGTTGATATGAGGAGGGGGGGGTGATGGCGGCGCCTTTCTTGCCCTCCACGCCCCACTTCCTCTTGTCACTATCTCGTGTCTTGATTTCCACCCTGCCGGAGCTTATTTCCTGCCTCCCTCCAGCCGTCCCTCCACCCCTCCAGCCGTCCCTCCAGTCGTCCCTCCACCCCTCCAGTCGTCCCTCCACCTCCAGTCGTCCCTCCACCTCCTCCCAGTCCTCTCTCCACTCGCCTCTCCTACACAACCCCGTCCTCCAACCTTCCCTCCCATACCTCTTTCCTCCTTTCCTTCCCTCCTTCCTTCCACCTCTCCCATCTACCTCCTCTCCTCTCTTCTCCTCCACCTTCCTCACCTCTCCTCCATCGTCCTCTCTCTTCCCCTACCTCCACCCCCCACCTCTTTTTTCTTCCTTCTACCTCTCGTCCATAACTTTTTCCCTCCACCACTTACCTCAGCTCCCCACCCCCCTCACCTCAGCTCCCTCCACCATACCTCAGCTCCCTCCACCACTTACCTCAGCTCCCTTCCATCACTTCCCTCAGCTCCCTCCACCACTTACCTCAGCTTCCTCCACCACTTACCTCAGCTCCCTCCACCACTTCCCTCAGCTCTCCCCACTCTCCCCTCAGCTCCTCCACCCCACCTCAGCCTCCACCCTTCCTCCTCTCATCACTTTCTACTCACCTCACTTCCCTCCACCACTTACCTCAGCTCCACCCCACCTCCTCCACCCCTCAGCCTCCACCACTTACCTCACTCCCTCCACCCCTCAGCTCCCTCCACCACTTACCTCAGCTTCCCTCCACCACTTACCTCAGCTTCCCTCCACCACTTACCTCAGCTTCCCTCCACCCTTACCTCAGCTTCCCTCCACCACTTACCTCAGCTTCCTCCACCACTTACCTCAGCTTCCCTCCACCACTTACTAGCTTCCCTCCCTCAGCTCCCCCTTACCTACAACATTCCTCAGTTGCGCGACGAGGTAATTGCATTCCATGGATGTGAGTGACACAGACGGGGCAATATGATTAGTTGGTGGTGCTATGGGTGTTGTGGGGTGGTGCTATGGGTGCTGTGGTGTGTGCTATAGTGCTGTGGGGTGGTGCTATGGGTGCTGTGGTGTGGTGCTATGGTGCTGTGGTGCTATGGGTGCTGTGGTGTGGTGCTATGGTTGTGGGGTGCTATGGTGCTGTGGTGTGGTGCTATGTGCTGTGGGTGCTATGGGTGCTGTGGTGTGTGTATGGTGCTGTGGTGCTATGGGTGCTGTGGTGTGGTGCTATGGGTGCTGTGTGGTGCTGGGTGCTGTGGTGTGTGCTATGGGTGCTGTGGGGTGCTATGGGTGCTGTGGTGTGCTATGGGTGCTGTGTGTGTGCTATGGGTGCTGTGGTGTGGTGCTATGGGTGCTGTGGGGTGCTATGGGTGCTGTGGTGTGGTGGTGTTGTATGGTGTTATGGTATGTAGGTAAGGAGCGTTATAGGGAGACAGGAAGTTCACCTAAGATACTCGTGTGTGTGGGGAAGTGGAGATAAAGACGGAATTAGTTAAGGGGTATGAGGCTGTAGGGCGGTGAGGGGGTTGGGGTGTGGAAGGTGAAGGAAGTTTTGGAGGGTCGTTAGGGGTTTTGAGATGTTTAGTTAGGCTGCTGGTTAAATGGGCCCCTATCCTAACCATTGGGTTTTAAGTCTCTCTCTCTCTCTCTCTCTCTCTCTCTCTCTCTCTCTCTGTAGGAGGGAGGGTCTCATTTGATCAGTTGTGGGTGTGTATGGAAGGTTCCTAGGAAGAATATATTAACTCCGGTACCACGAACCCCAAAACTACGTGACGCGCCCGACATTATCACCTCACCCCCCCTTCCCCTCACCAAAACGACAGCTCTTAATGACGGCCTCTCACCTCCTACCTCCCCCTCGCCACCTTACCTCCCTCCACTTACCTCCCTCGCGACACATTCTCCACGCCGAGTTCTCACGTGACAACTAGTGAAACAGCTTGAGACGACAGCATCACCTTCCTTCCCTATGTCTCTCCCTCCCTCCTATACGTCTCTCTTCCTCCTCCCTTCCTCCTCTTCTCCATTCCTCCCTCCAATCAGCACACAGTTTCTTTCCCCCTCACCCCCCCTTCCTCCTCCGGTAACGTCTTGGAGCGCCCTGTCAGGACACAGCCGAGATACATAGAGACCAGAGAATAATACCCATCAACCAGCAGCTGCACTGCCAGCAGAGTCTGGCAAAAGATAGAACCATCAGAGCAAGAACTCCTTCAAAGACTCCCACCAGATAACGACAACAACCATACATGGTTCCCAAAGTTACCAAATCTCAAAAGGTCATTACCACCCCGATCTACACGGCCAGGCAATAGACAACCTCCTAGACCAACATCCGCCAGCAGGGTCGGCGGAATATGAAATAAGGCCTTAAAAACACCCATATGGGTAAGATGTCTAGTGCCTGTACCGACAGACAATACTAACCCATGACACAACCTTAACACACTATTAAGCAGCTAGGCGGTCAGCCCGCCCTCTCTTACCTCCTAAATTTCTTCAGTTTCCGAACTATAACTTCCTTTCCCCACCTCATCTTCTTTCACCCTCCATCGTCTTCAAGTAAGTGTGTGTGTGTGTGTGTGTGTGTGTGTGTGTGTGTGTGTGTGTGTGTGTGTGGCTGCGCGTGCGTGCGTGCGTACGCGTGTGTGTGCGTGTGTGTGTGCGTGCGTGTATCACTGATGTGTTTGATGGTCGCTCTTCCCTGGGAGCACCACAGGCCACTGAGATTAGCTCCCTCCTCCGAATCTTAACCTAACCTAACCTAACCTAACCAAATATAGCTTCTGTAGTTGCCTTTCCCTTTAACCTAAGTTAACTTAATCTAACGCTAACTTAGCCTAACGCTAAATTAATCTAACCTAACCAAACCTATAATTCCCCCACCTGGTAGCGTTTGGGTGTTGAATATTCAGGTGAAATTAGCCATGATGTCGGCGGCATAAACTGAGTACGGGTTGTCGGGGATTACGTTGTCGGCGGCATAAACTGAGTACGGGTTGTCGGGGATTACGTTGTCGGCGGCATAAACTGAGTACGGGTTGTCGGGGATTACGTTGTCGGCATAAACTGAGTACGGGTTGTCGGGGTTACGTTGTCGGCGGCATAAACTGAGTACGGGTTGTCGGGGATTACGTTGTCGGCGGCATCAACTGAGTACGGGTTGTCGGGATTACGTTGTCGGCGGCATAAACTGAGTATGGGTTGTCGGGGATTACGTTGTCGGCGGCATCAACTGAGTACGGGTTGTCGGCGAAGATTTAGTGAGTACACGTCGGGTTTTCGTTCGGTGGTGGTTAAGACCGAATACGTCTGCTTGTGTTAGCGTTGTCGGCGGCGGCAAAGAGTGAGTATGCGTTGTCGGGTTACGTTGTCGGCGGCGATTACCGAGTACGTTTTATCGGCTTAACGTTGTCGACAGCAAAGGCTTAGGCTGTTGTCGGTGTAACTGGGGTGAGGGAGAGAGGGAGGAGAACAGGGTGTAAGGGGTAGGTGAGGGAGGGACAGGGTGTAATAAGGGGTAGGTGAGGGAGGGACAGGGTGTAATAAGGGGTAGGTGAGGGAGGGACAGGGGTGTAATAAGGGGGTAGGTGAGGGAGGGAGGGAGGGACAGGGTGTAATAAGGGGGTAGGTGAGGGAGGGAGGGACAGGGTGTAATAAGGGGGTAGGTGAGGGAGAAAGTCTGTCGTGTTGTCAGGGTGGATTAAGGTTAGATTTTTAACCTCTATTTTTAGTTTTCAATTAATCGTAGTTGTAATTGTTAATATTGCTCTGTGTAGTAGGTCAGTTGTGTGTGTGTGTGTGTGTTTAAATTTGTATACACATTTAAAAACTGCCCATGACCGATTCTTTAAGGCATGTAAACATCGTAAACACACACACACACACCACCACCACACATATAATTTTACCTGTTAATATGGACCATTAATTAATATGTTTCTCTCTCTGTCTCTACAGGTAAGAGTGCCAGGATGGGGTGCCACCTCTTGACCTCAGGTACGGGTGCAGGTCATGTATTTAATTATATTCACGGCCTTCTTATGGTTAGGTTATGTTTGGTTTATGTCCATTAAGTTGATGTGGTTGTATTAAGTGATGGCGGGGCGGGCTTAACGGGACACAGGTGGGGACGTGTAGGCCTGTCGATGGGGCGGGGCTTAACAGGACACAGGTGGGGACGTGTAGGCCTGTAGATGGGGGCGGGCTTAACGGGACACAGGTGGGGACGTGTAGGCCTGTAGATGGGGCAGGGCGGGGCTTAACAGGACACAGGTGGGGACGTGTAGGCCTGTCGATGGGCGGGGCGGGGCTTAACAGGACACAGGTGGGACGTGTAGGCCTGTCGATGGGGCGGGCTTAACGGGACACAGGTGGGGACGTGTAGGCCTGTCGATGGGGCGGGGCGGGCTTAACAGGACACAGGTGGGGACGTGTAGGCCTGTCGATGGGGCGGGGCGGGCTTAACAGGACACAGGTGGGGACGTGTAGGCCTGTCGATGGGGCGGGGCTTAACGGGACACAGGTGGGGACGTGTGGCCTGTCGATGGGGCGGGGCAGGCTTAACGGGACACAGGTGGGGACGGTAGGCCTGTCGATGGGGCGGGCGGGGCTACAGGACACAGGTGGGGACGTGTAGGCCTGTCGATGGGGCAGGGCAGGGCTTAACAGGACACAGGTGGGGACGTGTAGGCCTGAAGATGGGGCAGGGCGGGGCTTTACAGGACACAGGTGGGGACGTGTAGGCCTGAAGATGGGGCGGGGCTTAACGGGACACAGGTGGGGACGTGTAGGCCTGTCGATGGGGCGGGGCAGGGCTTTACAGGACACAGGTGGGGACGTGTAGGCCTGAAGATGGGGCGGGGGCAACGGGACACGGGTGGGGATGTGTAGGCCTGTCGATGGGGCAGGGCGGGGCTTTACAGGACACAGGTGGGGACGTGTAGGCCTGAAGATGGGGCAGGGCAGGTATAAGCCATAAACCAGCAGGATCCCCAGGCTACTGCTCTTATGGGGTTCTTCCTTTATGGGTTCCTGTGGTCTTCTACCCTACCCACGCCTTGTCCTACCCACGCCTTGGCCTACCTACCCACGCCTTGGCCTACCTACCCACGCCTTGGCTACCCACGCCTTGGCTACCTACCCCACTCCTTGGTCTACCCTACCCACTCCTTGGCCTACCCACCCACGCCTTGGCCTACCTACATAGCCTACCCTACCCACGTGCGCCTACCTACCCACGCCTTGGCCTACCTACCCACGCCTTGGCCTACCCTACCACGCCTTGTCCTACCTACCCACGCCTTGGCCTACCTACCACGCCTTGTCTGTCCTACCCATTGGCCTACCCTACCCACGCCTTGTCTTCTACCCACTGCCTTGGCCTACCTACCACCTTGGCCTACTACTTGCATGTCTTCCCTACTGTGGCCTCTACCCATGGCCTACCCTACCCAACGCTACCTACCACCTTGTCCTGTCCTACCGCCTGCCTACCCTACCCACACCTTGTCTGTCCTACCCACATGTGGCCTACACCTACCCATAGCCAGCCTACCTATCCACATGGCCTACCTACCCATGGCCTACCCTACCCACGCCTTGGCCTACCTACCCACGCCTTGCCTACCTACTACATGTCTACCCCACCCACGCCTTGTCCTGCCCCTACCCTCACGGTTGGGTCGACACCAATCCGGTTTATTTTAAGTGTCTATTGTGCTGTTATCGTCATGCAGGTCGTCTCTCTCTCTCTCTCTCTCTCTCTCTCTCTCTCTCTCTCTCTCTCCTCTCTCTCTCTCTTTATGGTGAAAAAATTTATGGTGAGTATTGTTTATGGTGAGAATTAAGTATGCTGTAGGTATTGTACACATGTGCGTATAGCTCCAGTGACACATATTCGTCTCGTGTACATGTTCAAGGGGTGTGTGTGTGTGTGTAACAACGGGATGAGTAGGAGGGGGGTCGATGGTTGGGGTGAAAGAGGCTTGGAGGGGGGAAGAGGGGCCACTGGGGAAGGGAGGGGCGACTGGGGAGAGGGGTAGGAGGGGAACAGCTTTGGAGAGGGGAAGAGGGACGGCTGGGGAGAGGGGAGGAGGGACGGCTGGGGAGACATATTTCACACTTCCCAAAGTTGCTACCGCCTCCCGTTCGTCCGCCATCTTGACTTTCCTCCTCCTCCTCTCCCCTCCCTCCTTATCTTTCCCATTCCTCCTCTATTTTCCTTGTCTAGCTTCTTCTTTCTTTCCCTTTCTTTCTTTCTTTCTTTCTTTCTTTCTTTCTTTCACACCTCGGCTTGTCTCACCTGATGATTAAACACCCTGACGCTACCTGCTGAAGTTAGGTCAGGTCAGGTTAGGTTAGGTTGGTGTTAGGTTAGACTAAGTTGCTGTTAGGTTAGCGTTAGGTTAAGTTGGTGTTAGGTTAGATTAGCTTGGTGTTAGGTTAGATTAGCTTGGTGTTAGGTTAGATTAGCTTGGTGTTAGGTTAGATTAGCTTGGTGTTAGGTTAGATTAGCTTGGTGTTAGGTTAGATTAGCTTGGTGTTAGGTTAGATTAGCTTGGTGTTAGGTTAGATTAGCTTGGTGTTAGGTTAGGATTCGATAAAAATGTTCCATGTTCCCATCAAGAGGGCCATGGCCCCATGTGGCTACGTCATAATTGTGTTACTGGCGTGTTTGTTTAGGCTGCGTTGATTTTTGCGTCTCTAGCGTTGTTTGCGTCATGAAGGTTGATGGGTTAAAACTCTGGCTTCTTCGTATGACGTTCACGCGGTGTTGTGTAGTGCGTCACGCCCACGTCACCGTCGTTTCCGGGAGACAAGTAGAGGGTGGGGGGGAGGGGGGAGGGAGGGGTTATCTCATGATGTGTGCCAGGGTGTAGGGTGTCTGTCGGTCGTGTTGTTTGTTTGTTGTTGTTCTGCCAGGGTGATGCAGTGTCGTTAAAGAGCTATTGTGGTGACCAGGGGTGTGTGTGTAATAATAATAATAATAATTAACGGTTTATTGAAAGAGCTTGGCAGCCAGAAGGCTGAAAATATACAGTTACATATTTGGGGAATGGGTTACGAATTACAAATAATATACAAGTAACATAAGTGACACAAATAAGATATATAATAACTAGATGGGGAAAAGCTCAAACTACAGTTCATTTCAACATAGTGATAGTGTAAGGAGCAGTGTTTACTGGGAGTGAATACACTGGTTTATTACAAGTTATTGATAATTTTTACAATGGTTGGGACTGGGCTGTTCTTATAGCGATCAGTTCGTGCACGTATGGGCTGGATGCAGTTGTGGTGTCGAACAGCAATTCTCGGACAAGGGATCTCAGGTGGTAGTAGGAGCCGGTGTAGAAGCTTCTTACCAAATTTGCAGATGAGGTCGTGGTGATGGTCGTGGTGGTCAGTGTGTGTGTGTGTGTGTGTGTGTGTGTGTTTTAAGGCGCCAGAATTCTTGTAACCTGTTGAATTGAATTGAAACAGTTTATTTAGCCAGAAAAACACAGATACAGAGTGAATAATAATAACAATATTAACATGGCTGAGCCAGTTGAGAACCTGAGCTGCACCTGATATATACTATACATTTATCTCAAGGAAGTATTATGTAACATTAAGTATCATCTGGAATAGTACAATAGCATGGTGGTAATAAGAACATGTTACCACGGTTATCACTTCAATATTTTTTAATTTTATTTATTTATTTATATATACTTAAATTACAGTGGAATTGAAAAACCTAAGTATAATGGGGGAGCAGTACAACCTGGGTTGTACAGTAATAAGGTTGAACAAGAGGACAGAGCTGTCAGGATTATGTCTAGTTGGCAATTATGTTTATTGCCATGGTAATTACTTATTTATTTACATGATAATTTCCGATAAAATGGTTTTGGTGGTACAATAAAAGCAGGTACTGTAAATATAGTAGGTGTTACACGAAATATTAATACTTAGACAATAGATATTTTTTAAGAGGTGATTTAAAGGAAGGGAGCGTAGTCTTTGCTGGGATGGGTGGGGGTATGTTGTTCCACACCTTCACACCATGGTATTTTATGGAGGTCTGGGACTGAGAGGAGCGCTGGGGGGTGGTCTTAGTAGCTCTGGGTGCCTTAAGTTGTATCTCTGATTATTCCGGAACTGGAAATAATTATTGTCAAGCAAGTGATTGATAGATTTGTAAACAAAGAGGGCACAGCAGTAGGTGTTAATATCTTCGAATTTTAAAATTTTCAATATAGCAAATTTTTCGTTTGTGTGATCTGTTTTTTCAAGTCGGTCATTGTCCGTACAACTCTCTTTTGTGCAGTAACCAGAGATTGTGTTTTTGAAGAGCCAGAGGCCCCCCATAGTGTGTAACAGTGTATCAGGTGTTGGTAAACAAGATCATGATAGATTTCTTTCATTGCTGTGAGGGTGAGTGACTGTCGAGTGATACATGATACCGCACTGTTTATTGACTTTACTGTGAATGGCTTGTATGTGGTTTCTCCAGTTAAGTTTCTCATAAACAATAACTCCGAGGAATTAGGTATTTTTTATCGCGTTTGAGGATTGTATTACCAAGGTACAGGAGGTCCAAGTCTGGGGGTAAGTTTTTCCTTCTGTGAAGATCGTGTGGTACATATTCAAATGTCGCCCCCCCCCCCTCCCCCTCCCCGGGTAAGAAGTGTTGAAATGTAACCTTGAGCATCACACACACATGACTGTCTTAACGCGTGTGACCAAGAACTCTTTTCATTGGCTCCATATTACATGTATACGGGTAAAATGCTTCCATCAGTTACGTCAGGAAAGGCGGTCTTGTTATGTACACCTTCTTACATCCTCAGTCTCGTGTGTGTGTGTGTGTGTGTGTGGGACTCAATACCCCTACTAGCTATTCTCTCTGCGACCTCTGGCAGTACCCACTGCACGGACACCCTCCCCCCCTCCTCCCCTCCCTCCCCTTCCTCCCCCCCTCCCTCCCCCTTCCCTCCTTCCCTTCATCCATCCATCTCTAGTACACACACACACACACATTCTTGTCCATGTACGTCCATACACGGTTACGTGGGCTGTGTATGTATGTATGTTTATATGCTCTGATATGTATATATTATAGTTTGCGTGTGTGTATGTGTGTGTGAGAGAAGAGAGAGAGAGAGTCGTCTTAAAATACTCCTCAATGGCGGTACCTTGAAAACTGTGTTCCTTCCTTCCTTCCTTCTCTCTCCCTTCCTTCACCGTCCCCCTTCCACTCATTATGTCACCATCACCGCTAAACTCTTTACAAACACATCACCGCCGCCACAACACATCACCGCCGCCACAAACACATCACCGCCGCCACAAACACATCGCCGCCGCCACAAACACATCGCCGCCACAAACACACGCCGCCGCCACACATCGCCACCGCCACAAACAATCGCCGCCGCCACAAACACATCGCCACCGCCACAAACACATCGCCACCGCCGCAAACATGCCGCTGCCACAGAACCTATTACGGCCGCTGCTGACGCAATATTACGGCCGCCGCCACACGCGACAGCCTCCACCGCCACAAACACCACCGCCGCCGACGCCACAGACACCACCGCCGCCACAAACACCACCGGCGCCACAAACACCACTCCGCCGCCACAAGCACCTACGACGCCGCCGCCGCCTGAAAACACCATCGCCACCCTATCAACCACCACCACATCTACCACCACCATCTACCACCACACCACCATCCACCACCACCACCTCTACCACCACCACCACATCCACCACACCACCCTATCTCACCACCACCACCACATCTACCACCACCACCCTATCTACCACCACCACCACATCTACCACCACCACCCTATCTACCACCACCACCCATCTACCACCACACCTATCTACCACCACCACCCATCTACCACCACCCTATCTACCACCACCACCATCTACCACCACCACCTATCTACCACCACCACCCTATCCACATCTACCACCACCACCACATCTACCACCACCACCACCACCGCTCTCTGGGGTTCAGGTGCTCACTTAAGGTTTCACTGCTTCAAGAATGACAGTAAGGGGTTCGAGGTTTCGGGGTTCAGCCTTATGAACCCGACTATCTTGTTGACGCTTAACAGTGGACCTGAGACTTGTTTGTTTACCTATAAGACGGTGGTTGTTGTTAGTTGTTGTTGTAAGTAGTTGTAGTGTTGTTGTTTTTAGTAGTGATCAATGATAACAATATTGATAAGACTTGATAAATACTGGAACTAAATATTTATCCATTTTTTCACGCGTGGTGCAAGCAGTGTTAAATATCGAGTAGGATCACCTGAAGATTAGACACCCCGGCTTATCTGCCACATGAGGGGGGAGGTGAGGTAGTTGCTGGGAGGAGGCAGGGCTAGACAAGACGGGGGAGGAGCAGGACTAGGCTGGGCAGGGGGAGGCAGGGAGGGACAGGACAGGGAGGAGCAGGAATAGGCTGGGGGAGAGGCAGGGTTAGACAGGACAGGGGAGGACTAGGTTGGGGAGGGTAGGGTGGGGGAATGGCCAGTTCAACAATTCTCGGGAGAATGAATGAGTAACGTGACGTCATCGCCGCCGCTACACGACACCGGAAGTTTTAACTAATAATGAACCTCACCTTACCTCACGCCTCACCTCCTCACCTCACCTTACCTCACCTTGCTCCACCTCCCTCACCTCACCTCACCTCACTACCCTAACCTACAACCTACTTACCCTATCCTACCCCTGCCCTGCCCTGCCCTGCCCTGCCCTGCCCTGCCCTGCCCTGCCCTGCTTAATCTCCCACTCTCCACCTCCCCACTCTACCTCCCCCCCCTCTCCTCGGTGTGTGGGGGGGGGGCTGGGACTCAGGACATCTGGACACTGCATTGAGCCCCCACCTGTAGCCTGACTGGACTGTGTTGCCCTCTCTACACCCCCGTTCCTTCCCCTCCTTCTCTTCCTTTCCTCCTCTTCCTTCCTTCCTCTCATTTTCTCTTCCTTTCCTTCCTCCCCCACCTTGCCTCTCTGTCTGGACTTGTATAGTACCTGTACATCTACCTACCTGTAACTACCTGTTTTACATGGGGCTGCGTCAGTAAGTCCAGTCTCCGCCTATACACTTGACTGATTGACTGAGCGACGACATCACAGAGACATTTATGAGTGAGTGGGCAGGTATGGTGGAGTAGGTGGGCTGAGTGTGGAGTGGGCATGTGGTGGGGATTATGGAGTGGGAGAGAAAGAGAGGAGAGGAGAATGAATGATAAGAAAGGACAGGGGGAGGAAAGAGAATGGGTGGGGAGTGGGGAGGTGCAAATGGGGAGAATAGAAGTGGGCACAATGGGGAGGTGGGTGCAGTGGGCGTAATTACGAGGCATAGGAGGGGGTGGGTGGTTGGCATTCAGACATAATCCGCACCAAAAAACCTGAGCGGCAGCCACCACAGAGTCAGTGACCTGCGCCTCTCCTCCTCCTCTTCCCTTCTTCCTCCTGGTTGAGGCCGTGGTGGGAGGCGGGACCCTTAGCCACGCCCCGTCCAGCAAAACCTCTCCCCCACCCCTTCTTTCCTTCCCTCCCTTCTTCTTTCCTTCCCCCCTCTCCCTTTCCTTCCCTCCCCTCCTCCTTCTTTCCTTCCCTCCCTCCTTCTTTCCTTCCCTCCTCCTTCTTCTTTCCTTCCCTCTCCTCCTTTCCTTCCCTCCCCTCCTTTCCTTCCCTCCCCTCCTCTCCTTTCCTTCCCTCCCCTCCTCCTCCTTTCCTTCCCTCCCCTCCTCCTCCTTTCCTTCCCTCCCCTCCTTTCCTTCCCCCCCTTTCTTTCCTTCCCTCCCCTCCCTTTTCCTTCCTCCCTTCTTTCCTTCCCTCCCCTCCTTTCCTTCCCTCCCTTCTTCTTTCCTTCCCCCCTCCTCCTTTCCTTCCCTCCCCTCCTCCTTCTTTTCCTTCCCTCCTCCTTCTTTCCTTCCCTCCCCTCCTTTCCTTCCCTCCCCGCCTTTCCTTTCCTTCCCTCCCCTTCTTTCCTTCCCTCCCCTTCTTTCCTTCCCTCCCTCCTTTCCTTCCCTCCCCTCCTTCCCTCCTCCTTTCCTTCCCTCCCTCCTTCCCTCCCCTCCCCTCCTCCACCACACCTTTTTCTTCTTACCCCCTCTTTCTTACTTCTCTCCTCTCCCTTACCTCTTCCCACCCTCTTCCATACCCCTCCCTTATCCTACCTCTCCCTTTTTTCCTACTCCCTACCCCTCAGTGCTGGCGGGGTGATGACCAGTGCATCTCGAATATGAATTATTCCCCGTAAACCGGAAGTCATCACATAGATTACCACCCCTACCCCACCCTAACCCATACCCCGAACCCCTTCTCCTACCCCATGCCACCCATACCCAGCTTATTTTACCTGATTTGGTTAGGTTGGGTTATGTAAGAGGTTGTTTGGTGTTTTATTGCTACCTGGCAACTGTGTGTGTGTGTGTGTGTGTGTGTGTGTGTGTGTGTGTGTGTGTGTGTGTGTGTGTCAGAGATTAAATAACATAACTCAGAAAACAACAACACGAGTGGAGAAAAATAAGATTAATTTTTTTTGTTTTTTTTGTTTGTTTTTGTAAGAGAGAGAGAGAGAGAGGAGAGGGGGAGAGAGAGAGAGACGGAAGAAACAAGCGGAAATGGAAAGAAATCATAGACAAATATAAAGACAGTAAAATAAACTGACAGACAGACACAGACAGGCAGGCAGAAACAGACGGAACAAACAAAGAAAAAACATGAGAGAGAAATAGAAATGCAGACAGTTAAAGCAGATGGACAGTACCGTTGTAACAGAGGGCCAGTACCGTTGTAACAGAGGGCCAGTACCGTTGTAACTGGTCAGTACCGTTGTAACAGAGGGCCAGTACCGTTGTAACAGAGGGTCAGTACCGTTGTAACTTGGTCAGTACCGTTGTAACAGAGGGTCAGTACCGTTGTAACAGAGGGCCAGTACCGTTGTAACAGAGGGCCATACCGTTGTAACTTGGTCATACCGTTGTAACAGAGCCAGTACCGTTGTAACAGAGGGAGTACTATTGTTGTAACTTGGCCAGTACCGTTGTAACAGAGGGCCAGTACCGTTGTAACAGGGCCAGTACCGTTGTAACAGAGGGCCAGTACCGTTGTAACAGAGGGCGTACCGTGTAACTGGCCAGTACCGTTGTAACCAGCCAGTACCGTTGTAACAGGACCAGTACCGTTGTAACAGAGGGCCAGTACCGTTGTAACTTGGCCAGTACCGTTGTAACAGGGCCAGTACCGTTGTAACCGGCCGGTACCGTTGTAACAGGGCCAGTACCGTTGTAACTTGGCCAGTACCGTTGTAACAGAGGGCCAGTACCGTTGTAACAGAGGGCAATGTTGTAACAGAGGGCCAGTACCGTTGTAACAGAGGGCAGTACCGTTGTAACAGGGCCAGTACCGTTGTAACTCAGGCCAGTACCGTTGTAACAGGGCCAGTACCGTTGTAACAGAGGGCAGTACCGTTGTAACTGGCCAGTACCGTTGTAACAGAGGGCCAGTACCGTTGTAACTTGGCCAGTACCGTTGTAACAGAGGGCCAGTACTGTAACAGAGGGCCAGTACCGTTGTAACAGAGGCCAATACCGTTGTAACTTGGCCAGTACCGTTGTAACTGGCCAGTACCGTTGTAACAGAGGGCCAGTACCGTTGTAACAGGGCGAAGTACCGTTGTAACTGGCCAGTACCGTTGTAACAGGGCCAGTACCGTTGTAACAGAGGGCTGAGTACAGATTGGCCAGTACCGTTGTAACAGAGGGCCAGTACCGTTGTAACAGGGCGAAGTACCGTTGTAACGCTGGGCCAGTACCGTTGTAACAGGGCCAGTACCGTTGTAACTTGGCCAGTACCGTTGTAACAGGGCGAAGTACCGTTGTAACTTGGCCAGTACCGTTGTAACTTGGCCAGTACCGTTGTAACAGAGGGCAGTACCGTTGTAACAGGGCCAGTACTAACTTGGCCAGTACCGTTGTAACAGAGGGCCAGTACCGTTGTAACTGGCCAGTACCGTTGTAACAGGGCCAGTACCGTTGTAACAGAGGGCAGTACCGTTGTAACAGAGGGCCAGTACCGTTGTAACAGGGCGAAGTACCGTTGTAACTAGCCAGTACGTTGTAACAGGGCCAGTACCGTTGTAACAGGACGAAATACCGTTGTAACTGGCTAGTACCGTTGTAACTTGGCCAGTACCGTTGTAACAGAGGGCCAGTACCGTTGTAACAGAGGGGCAGTACCGTTGTAACAGGGCCAGTACCGTTGTAACTTGGCCAGTACCGTTGTAACAGAGGGCCAGTACCGTTGTAACTTGGCCAGTACCGTTGTAACTTGGCCAGTACCGTTGTAACAGAGGGCCAGTACCGTTGTAACAGGCCAGTACCGTTGAGGTGGGGTACATTTAGACCGTACCTAATAATAATTATGCTTTGGCTGGAGTACCGTTCTTCGTTGTCTCGTTCCATTTTTAGTGAACCTCCTCGACACCCGGAAGATTGTGTGTGTGTGTGTGTGTGTGTGTGTGTGTGTGTGCGCGCGAGAGAGAGAGAGAGAGAGAGAGAGAGAGAGAGAGAGAGAGACGCTGCCACCGCTCCTCCCACAGTAGATGTAGCCCTCCACATGTGCAACGAATGTGGACGACGCT